GTAAGCACCTGCCTTGCAAGCAGGCAGTCGTGAGTTCGATCCCTGGTACCAATTAAAAAGGAAAAAGAAAAAAAAAAAAACAGGCAAAACTAAACACTTGAGGCATACATACATGACAACTGAAATGAAAGGCACAGGAAGAAATAAAATTCAGGCCAGTGGAAACCTGGTCTCAAGGAAGGGGAAGGTTTTACTATATCTCATTATTAGAAAAATTAATGGAATGTTATTACTTCTGAACTTTCAGTTTGTTTTCCCATTCTTTGAAATATTCTAACAAAACTGCTCACATAGTAAAATAAAATGATTAGTGTTTCTGGGCCAGAGGTTTTACAAGAAAAATCTCTGAAGTTTAAAACAACAACACCAAATATTGCAGGGGACTCACAAGAACCTAAATCCAAGCCTGGACTCCCACTGGAAGAAGCTCCCATCTGTTAAACCTCTATAGTTCCATAAGATCTAATCTCATTCCTCTAGCATTTTGCCCTTTCTCTTTCTCTCTTTTTTCTGTGTTCAACCTTGCAATCTCAAGTTTCTCTTATAATATACATATATAAATGAACACACAGCAGCCAAACTGATATTGCGAACAAGTTTAAACTTTTCTCGCTTCCCCTTTCCACACTATGGCCTTAATTCTGAACTCCACCCAATCCACCCTTCTCTCCTCTCCAGGCACCAATATTTATGTGTTATTATTTGAAGCTTAAAAAAAGAAAAAAGGGGATGGAATCCCACAATACAGAATGCCCCATTTCACCAACATTAACTTTCCTAACACAAACATAAAATTTTTCGGACCTTTCTTGCTAGAAGTTAACTGTTTAGTGTGTAGTGTTTGGGATTTTTTTTCTATATATTTACATGGTATATATAAAACTCCACAGTTTAAGAAAATATTATAACTATTATTTCTGTAACTTGTTTTGAAAATCCCTTTTATTCACTTCTTAACCCAAAAGAGTGGCAACATACTCATGCCTTCTATCATTTTAATCAACAGTCCTTGACTGTGCATTTGACAGTGGTGACTACTCCTCTACAATTTCCTCTTTTGTGGATCCCAAGACACTGTACAGTTCAGATGTCTCTTCCTTTTTGTGTCTTTCTTCTAGACAGCCTTCTTGGTAATATTCCCCTCTGCACATTCCAGCTATGCTGTCAATATTCATTAATGAGTAATCACCACTAACTTCATTCCTGGAGGGCAACCTTGTCAGACTCCCATTTATCAACCCGTGCGTATGTGAATCAATCTTCAATTTCCTTTTTGTTTTTTTCTTTTCTTTTTTTGTTTCATTTGTCTTTTTGAGGCAGGGTTTTGCTATGCAGTTCAGGCTGGCCTTGAACTTGCCGCAATCTTTCTGCCTCAGTATCCTGAGTGCTGGGACTACAGGTATGCACCACCAAGCTCAGCTCAATTTAAAATAATTTTCATGGTGGAGGATTTAGCTCAGTGATTCAAGTGCTTGCCTGGTAAGTGTGAGGTCATGAATTCCATCCTCAATATAAAAAAAATACCTTTCATCAAGTAAACAAGAACATACTACTGCTTCGAAGGGGAGTGATACGTAATTTTACTTTATAACTACCTGAACCATGTTAATCACCAAAAGCCTGTGCCAAAGCAGGAGGACAAGGGTAAATGGGAATGAAAGTTTAAGAGAGTAACTTCCTAAAGTGGGAGTTTCCTAGTAAACATTTTCATATGATAAGAATTCTTACTTTCCTACAAAACCTTATATCTGACAGTGCCGATAATGAAAATTCCTCTTAATCTTATTAGCTCCCACTGCTCTAACCCAGACCATCCTCCTGAGCTATAAACAAGTACTTCTCCAGAACTGCAAACAGTTCCTTTGTGCATATCACTTTAGTTTCAGCTCATGCCTTATCTCCTCAGTAAAGCCTTGAAGTACCTTCCTTAAAGGTAGACCTACTAAAAAAAAAATTCAATGTATGGCATATCTTTTATTTAAGACAAAAATCAGGAGCCATCTTAGCAAAAATGGTTAAAAAATCAAGTGGGAGTGGGGAGGAAGAGTAGAGAGAGAATGAAGGAAGAGAAGAAGGGACCAGAATAATGCAATGGGGAGAACAGGGATTTGCTACTATGGATGAACAGAAGTTGGACCCTTAACAAAGTTCTGACATAATGTTTTCTTTTTCCTTTGATGAGGGTGAGGGCAAGAAGGGAACTTAGAAACACAAGTAAGGATACAAGCCAGCTTGTGTCTTTGGCCTGGTTGAGAGGCAACAAGAATTACTGAGGAGGTTAAACTGGTAGGAAGACATCAAATTTTAAGAGCAAAAGGCCAGGGATTTAGCCCAGTGGCTTGCCTAGCAAGCACAAGATCCTTAGTTCAATCCCTGGTACCAAAATTTAAAAAATGAATCTTAGGAGCAAGAATTAAAGGTTTGTTAACGTTTTTTTCCCTCGGTAATTACCTGCTTACAATATTAGAATGGGCCTGCTAAAATCCACTTTCCATGTGATCAATTCAGCAGCCATACACTAAAACCTACTTTCTACTTTTATACCTAGATTTAAATCACACATTTTCCTAAGTCATTTTTCAAAAACACGATACTACTAATGAAAATAGAAGGTCTATTTTAACTACATTTAGTCTCATGCTAAGACAGTTGAACAATATCATCATGACCATGAAGTGTTTAAAACCATTTCTATGAGAGAGGGATACATGAAAAGAAAAAAGTTTGTATAGTTCCCTTGTCTAATCAAAGCATTTTCACATGCATCCTCCTTTTAGAACACGCTACTGAGTAAAGGTAAAGCTAGCAGTATCTGTCTTAGAGGCTGAGGGAGCGAAAGCCGGGAAAACGAATGCTTTCATTTTAAAAACGTATACTTTCCATACTACGACTTTTAAAAAAATCAAGATGGATCTCAAACTACCACCTTTTGGGAAGAGGGCTACATTACAATCGGATGCATACTCTGAATTAAGGAAGTACGGTAAAGGACTTTGGACAAAATCCATAAACAAGAAGTGACAGAATTAAGTAAAACAAATCCTATAAATACATGCTATAATAGGAATACAGTGACCTGATGGCTCCTTATTCATTAAATTATTAATTAAATATGTAGGGCTTACCTTTTACTAGGCTTTTCCTGAAACACAAAGCCATATAAAACACCTGTTCTTCCCTCAAAAAATGTAACATACACCTATAATTTCAGCACTCTGGGAGGCTGAGGCAGCAGGTCTGCAAGTTCAAGACCAGCCTGGGCAACTTATGTGACCATGTCCCAAAATAAAACAAAACCAGAAACAAAGACAAAAGCTGTGGATGTAGCTCAGTGAGAAGCTGAGTTTAACCTCCCAGTAGTCCCCCAAATAAATCTTAAAGGAAAAAAAAGTATGTGATTAATATGCAAAGTGAGAAACAAATCAGTAAAGCAGTAGTCACCTCCAGAGAGTGCATCTGGAAACTCTTGGGTGTAATGAATAGTAAGAACTCCCCATCTGCTGACAGTGCAGGCCTTATGGAAGACCTGAGTAAGGTTTTAAAGGATCGAGAGAATTGCACAGCCAGAAACTGTAGCAGAAGGCACTTTAAGCAGACACAGCAGCACAGCCCAGGGGAAACCCTAGAAATCAAAGGGCCTATGTGGCAGAAGATGGGGAATGGCAGAAAAGACCGCTAGAAAAGCAGATAGGGACCCCGCTAGGAGGGAGATTAAGGTAGGAGGACTGCAAGTTTCAGCCTGAGTAATCTAGAGACCCCCTCCCCAAAAGTCCGCAGATGCAGCTCAGTGTGAGCCCCTAGAGTCAATTCTTACCACCACCAGGAAAAAATAAAGCTGATGGAAGTTCCTTAAAGCTCGAACTAAAACAAGAGACAAAGCTGCGCGAGGTGGCCCACACCTATAATCCCAGCACTCAGAAGGGTGAGGCCCGAGGATTGTTGTGAATTGGAGACCTTCTTGAAACTACAAAAACTCAAAAACCAGGCCTGAACTTCTAAGTGAGACTTGGTCTCAAAAAAAAGACTCCTCTCACAACAAAACCAAAAACATGAGCAAGCAGAGAAGCTGCCTCAACATCCATGTTTCAGGAAGATTGAACTGAAAGTGATACAGACCTATCAGCTAAACTGGAGCTGAAAGTGTCTGCTACTCCACACTGTCTATTGTTAGTGTTACAATTCAGCTTCTGAACTAGGTTGTAAAACAGCAATGCCAAGAAAGGAGTCTTCCCTTGGAAATGCATAGGATTTGCCTATTTTCAGAAAAGGGCAAATTATACGAGAATGGAGCCTTGACTTGTTAATAATTGTAGCCCCACTACATTCTTTACCTGTAATAACAGCCTCAATTAAAACGCTGAAAGGCAGTCCTCAAAGTGTCCAGTCACTCTTCTGTTTCCTATGAATAGTTACTGTGACATCTATGATCGTAATTTTTATAGCCTAAATGGTTTTAGAATTCTTCTCTTCTCCCAACTGTACCATATTTTTTTTAGTTTATAAATTTGCTGCTAAACATTAGCAAAACAATGTTTTGCTCAGGATTTTACAGAGAAAACTGTCTCCATTCTTACATCCCCCCCCCCCCAAAAAAACCTTACTGACTATAGATACAGATTGTAGCGGAAAGTTTTTCTTTAGGCTGCAACCAAAATGCTTCCACAGTTACCTACAGAATCTGCTACATCATTAGTGCAACCACAAGATGCTGGTGATATTTCCAAAGTTGTGCAAGGGGTCAAAAGTTGCACAAGAGTCACCGCTGAAATCAGACTCTAGTACATGCACAGTTTAACACCTGAACAAGCCTTAGGTTTACTTATTAGGTTCAAAGTAATGCCCAAGTCGCAGGTATTAACAAATATTTTACGAGTTTGCTTGGTTGCCTGTAATATACACTAGGATATTATAACAAGTGAGAATTGAGGACATTCTGAGAATCAGTACTGATGACCCAGGACATACCTAAAAAATTCAGGGTCCCCAGCACACACACACACTGAAAGCACTAAACGGCCCTACACTACTGTCAAATCAATAACATCAGTTTACACATATAAAGAGTCCTCTTTAATAGCCGCAAAAAGATTAGCCAGCCGTCAAAACACACATGCGCCTTTATCTGGATTGGGAGAGTATAACAAACATTTTTAAAGCGTGTTTTCTCTCTCGGCTGCCTGTCTCGCCTCGGGAGCGCCCGGCTCAGCTGTGGCAGAGGTGTGCAGCGGGGAAAAGGTGGCCCGTGTCATGAACTCGAGCTCCCGGGCCTCCCTTCCAGTCCCCGAGGCCGCAGAAGGACCAGAGATCGGGCAATCTCTAGAGCTCGGCCCTGACGTTTCGGAGCCAGGTAATTCCGTGCTCAACACCTCTCTGAGCAGGCGTCGTGAAGGCCGCCACGACCCTCGCCTGCAAGGACGGCCGGGGCAGGAGCTGTGGCCCGGACTCGGCCAGGCCGCGCCGCTCGCAGTGCCCACGTCACCAGCTCCAGCACTGCGGAAATGGAGCCGCGCGGCCCGGAGGGAGGTGCCGGGAGGGAGAAATGTGTCCGCGCCGCCGCCAGGCGCCGTTCGCGCTTCAGTCCCGGCCCGCGGGCCAGCGAGCCCGCTCCGCCGCGCCCAGGGCCCTTACCTGTGTCGCCGATGATAATATACTTAAAAAGATAGGCGTACGCCATGGCCACGGCCGCCCGGTGCCAGGCACACGGCTCCTCCTCCTGCTACTGCTCCTCCTCCGCGCCCCGCGCCCCGCGCCCCAGCACCGCTCAGGCTCGAAACGCAGGCTCCGCCCGCCGCCGCCGCCGCCGCCGTGGCCCTCGCCGCCGGGAAGGAGGGCGGAGGAGAAGCCGGACAAACTGACACCCCCACGAAGCCGCCGGAGACAGCGCCCAACCGAGTCCAGCCGAACAATAACAGCCGCAGCGGCGCCTCCGCCCCGCCTCCGCGCCGACCCGGAAGTACTGCAGGAGCGGCCGGCGCCGCCGGAAGGAAGGGGAGGAGACCCGCACTCAGCCCCGCCCCTCCGGTCGGAAGTGGGCCTCTGCCCGCGACTGTCCCTCCCGCACCGGGTCCGCCGCGAGTCGCGGAGGCCAAAGCGCAGGTGGTTCCGGTGCTCTCGAGCCGGTGACCGTGGTGGCCCAGAGGAGCTGGGGGAGGGGGAGGGGTGGGTTCCGCGGGACACTTGATGGGAAGGCGCGGTGGGGGCCCGGCCCTTGGGTGGTGAGAAGGCACGGTGGGGGTGAGAGCCGTGCGGGTGGAGGGCGATGACGGGGTGGGGTTGTGCAGCGTTTTTATAAGTTGAAAATAAATCAGGGACTGAACTAAATCGGGGTCCAGTATGCTGGTCAGTGGAGTGCCATGCTGCTTTTAAAACCTGACTTAGCAGAAACAAGACCACTGTATAACTGTATACTATCGTATGTTATATGTGATTAATTATATATAACCATAAATAGTACATACTTTGGCGTCTTGTTTGTATAGTTATTTTTTGAGTGGTGCTGGGCATGGAACCGAGGGCTTTCTGCATGGTAAGCAACCCTGTAGTGCTGAAATCTGCCAAATCTTTTTTACCTCATGAAAAAAAAAAAGATAAACTTAAGTACCCATATGTGTATAACGGATGAGATGGGGGGGGATGTACATCCATTGAGTTTTTCGTGTGCTTGAAATTTTTTGCACTGCCTATGAGGTACGCACTAAAATAATGTTTAAAAGCACAGTTTTTTATTCACCCAGCTAAAATGATTGAAAGTACTGTTTCACTCATTACTAGGATAGCTAGAGGCGCAGTCCTGTTGTAAAGAAGCAAATGTTTTAGGGCCAAGGGATTACTCCATTACTCCATAGTAGAGCACGCTGGCCTATTTCCAGGCTCAGGAATCCATCTTTAGGACCAGGAAAAAACAAAACAACAGGTACACACAGGTTGTGGAAGATGTAGAGGACAGAGTTGGTTTAAGTGACAGGTAAGGTTATCAAGAGAAAATGATTTCTAAACCAGACATGAATGATTAGTAAAAATTGTCAAAAGGACAAAGGTTTGGGAAAAGAATTAACTTTTAAGTATGAAGAGCAGAATATGCAAAGTTCATGAGCCTGTTCAGGGTATTTAAAGGTGTATGAAGAGACTAATTTACTAAACCATGACCTCTAGTGTCTGGCAGCAGAAAGAGTCATTCCTGGGAGAAATGGCGGGTTCAGTGGCCTTTGCTTCTGTTGCCTAGTATTTTCTGCTCCCTTCTGGGATCTCTCGTTGTGTAATTACTACTGACACCGTTGCACTGGGCTGACTGCATGGTTGCTATATGGTTTGGATAGCTTTGCCTGTGTAAAATTAAGATTTTTCTGAAATATTTGGAGGTGCTTTTACTGAAGTTCTAGGGGATAGGACCCAACTTGACATGAAAAGTGACCTGAAATTGCACCCTTGGGGTCACTCCTTGAACTTGGAGGACCGGAGATCTCTGCCTTGGGCCTCCAGCTCCAGAAGCTGTTCTGTCCTTATGTAAGTGGCTTCACTCCAATCTTTCCTGGGTGGTGAATGGGATAGTCAAATCCCTGTTTTGAGAACTGTGGCCTTTACCAGCACAGCCTGATCTGGCCACCTGTAATACGATGTTGCACAGAAATCTAGCACCCTTGCGAGCCATGGTGGCACACACTTGTAATTTCAGCACTTGAGAGGCTGAGGCAGGCTTGCTCAGAGTTCCAGGCCAGCCTGGGCTACATAGTGAGACCCTGATGTCACATTAATAAGTGTATAGAAATTTATCTGACCGACACCGGGAAACTTTGAAAGAAAGTTAGAATTGGGTTTATTACAAAAATCGTACAAAAAGTTGTATGATATGGTGTAAAAAAAATTGAGGAAACAACTCCTATTGGCTTTATTAATGCAGTTTAGCGTATTAGAATATTGGAGACTAAGGAATTCACTGCCCTCTACTCACTTAGGTTTGGGAACATCCTGTGGCCATCCCTTCCTAATCTCAGCTCTCCACCTACTTCAGTTTGAGCTCCACTTTAGGAGCAATGTATTATTACCCTAGGCCCATTTTATCTTGTGTTTAAATTTGAAAGCCCGTCCAGCACCATTTATCTATTGGTGACCTTCAGTAAATAGCTACTTTTTCCTCACCGTCTAAGTGTACACTTTGCAATTCTTTGCTTGCCTTAGAATTTGCAATCTATCTGCCATATGTTATACTACCACTGATTGGATGGTTATGATAAATCATTTGGCCTTTCAGTGCTTCGTTGTACTCATTTGTCAAACACAAGAGTTGATTAGTTAAAAAGACTATTCCAAGTCTGAAGTGCTTTTGCATTTACACCTCTCCAGTTTCCAGATGTAAAGCAAGCTGTGTAGAAGGTAGTAAACCTTCCATTATGAAAATGTGGATAATTAAATATGAATTGTTTTTGCCCACCATAGGAATTGAAATGGTCAGTTGCTGAAATATAAGTTAATGAATGAAAGAGTTTTGTCATAAACAATCTCAATTTTATACATGAAAGCATGAATATACCATAAAACAGCAATAATGAATTGTCTTAGCCATATGAACTTTAGTTGGGGTGTTTCCTATAAGGCTTTGGAGATTATTGGGGTCTCTGATTAATGAATAAGAACTGGTTTTTTGTTGTTGTTGTTGTTTTTTGGTCTTTTTCCTTTTTATCGGTACCAGGGATCAAACTCATGACTGCCTGCTTGCAAGGCATGTGCTTATGTCGCTGAGCTAGATCCCCAGCCCCAGAACTGGCTAATGTTACTAGGCAGCTGCTTTCTTATTTGTCAATTGAAGTCTTGTCTAATCTCTCCTTACACCCAAGGGATTTTGTTTTACCAATTTTAGCATCATTTTGACCAGTTGGCAACCCAGGTGGAAGCATACTTTTTAAATCTATAACCCAGGGGCAGGGGATTTAGCTCAGCAGCATAAGCGCCTGCCTTGCAAGCAGACCGTCATGAGTTCAGTTCCCGGTACCAATTAAAAGGAAAAAGACAAAAAAAAAAAAAAAATCCATAACCCAAATAAAACCTTGATTAAATGATCTGCAAAAGAAAAGAGGAAAGATTATTGAGCTCAAATAAAAAAAGAACAGCAGTTTGTGAATATGACATACAAAGAAACAGACAATCTGTACAGATTGGACATAGGAACATACACAGTTTAGCATACAGATACTTTATATGTAGTACACTCAAATATATTTGGCCAATTTGAACTATAATAAATAGACTCGTGAGAACCTTTCTGTAGATCAATTAACAGGTTTATTTAAATAAGGATAGCAGGCCCAGGGTCATTCTCAGCAGTATTCGTTTTATGTCTACGATTGGCTTCTCAAGCTGCTTGCCATAGCTGAGCCCGCTGTTGTGAGCTGAAGGTGGTGTTCAGAATCAAATAAATGTCCTTGAAATGTAAATTGTAACAATTAATTATAAATTTAAACTAATATAATTTCATGAGTCAGAAGGAGCCTAATTTATGGTTAACCTGAGATAGGTCAGCAAGTGAGAAAGGAACATGAAGATGAACTAGTCCCTCCAGACCAGCCTGTTCCTAAAGCGGGAATAGGGGTTGAGACCGAGAATGCTGTGGAGTGAGAGGTGTAGATGGCCACTAAGCAACCAACTGCCAAGCAGGTGTTTGTGGGCAATTACAAGGTGATTGACCATAAACTAGCCGCTCATCACCATGTGACAGGGAAGCACAAGATGGTGACTGGTTGTCATGTGATCTGCAACAAGATGGCTGCTGCTGATCCCATGATGAGGGACCACAAGTTGGCGGCCATTTACTCTGACCTGTCACAAGATTGCATGGACTGTCACATGGTAGAGGGCTATAAGATGGCAGTTGACCCTCATGTGAGCTGCAGCAAGATGATTGCTAAGAACCATGTGGCAAGATGGCAGTCAAACACCATGCAGTCTGCTAGATGGCTGAATCATGCAAGACCAAGTGTGGTGAACTGGCAGGGAGAATGGTATGCAGGAGCAGAGAGGAAAAGAGAGGGGCCATCTGATGGGATAAATGGCCCAGGTTGAGGGGGTTGAGGAGTCCGAGATTGGGGAGAGGAAATGAAGAATTAGAGACTGTTGGGAGTGAAGAAAGGGGAGACTGAATGAGAGAAGAACGTATCCTCAAAGTGAGAAAGGCCTGAATGTGAGGTCCTACCAATTTGCCACTGCTATGACAAAAGTTATATAAATCTTGAAGGATAGAGGGGTCAAACGTTTTCCCCTTAGGCTATGGGCTGCTATTAAACTAGTAGGTTGGCCAACCCATCTGGCAGTAAAAGATCAGATTTGGGGGTTTTTGGAAGTTTTTTTTCATTGTTATTGTTTGGTTTTTATGGCCTTCTTTAAGCCAAGAGCACCAAGGTTATGAACCAGCACCTCAGGTATTTTTTGGGGGTGGAGGCAATAGTAATACCAATATGTCCCACACCCTTTTAGATTGGGATTTCCTCCAGTAGTTAGCTTCTCCTTTACCCTTTTCCTCCCCACATCTTCAAACACCACCACAGTGCATTGCAAAGCCATCCCTTCCTCTCCCTTCTTCCCTTGTTGATCCCATAGTCTGGGACACCTCCAAGCTCACTTGCACTACCCATGCTATACCTGTTTTAATTTGTCAGAGATCCTTCAATCTTTCCTTGTGTTCCCCAATATCCTATAGCACCCAAACATCTATGGGGACTGAAACCTATAATCAAGCACCTTTTAGACAATGGTTTCCTACCCATTCATCCTACAATACTCCCATTCTTCCGGTACTCAAGCCTAATTGGTCCTATTGGTCCTATTGTCTTGTCCTGTGGCTGTTCACCCAGTGATGCCAAACCCTTATACTATGCTCTCGCATATTCCTCTCTCTACCACTCACTTCACAGTCCTAGGTCTTAAAGATGCCTTTTTTTTTTTAAACCATCCCCCTATACCCTGATTGTCAGGATTTCTTTGTGTTTATGTGGACTGACCCAGACAATCTCAGGTCTCAACAACTTACTGGACAGTACTCCCTCAAGGGTTCAGGAATAGTCCTCATTTCTTTAGCCAACTTCTTGCTGCTGATCTTACAGCTCTTG